GGTTGCAAGATGTAAAAGAAAGCCCTACTTGGGAGGCAACCCAATACACTGAATAAAATAAAGCATGTCCATTGATCTCCGAGAAATTACAAGTGCGTGAAAAAATAAAAATAAAAATAAAAATAAAAAAAAAAAAAAACAAAGAGAAGAAAGAAAGATGGAGCTTTCAGAAAGGTTGTTCACGTGAAGCCCCACTACTTGGCAAAACTCCAAGAGCGGGAGGCATCGAAGATAGATCATTCGAGGCTTCAATACTTGGTGGAACGCTAGATGACGCAGGAAAAAGGTGCCTCTGGAAGAAAGCCGCAAACCTTTGACGGTCACTTTGAATTCGACCTTCAGATTCTTGCAGCTGATCAAGCTTCCTCTTCATGCTTGTCGAATAATTATTTGCAAGCACGTGCAAACCTCTATTCTCGCGCTTAAGCTGTTTGATCTCTTGCTTAAGATTTTCCACCTCCGCCATCAATGATTCAACTTGACGGGATCGAGCAAGTAGGCGTCGGCCCATATTGGACACAGAGCCCGCACACTGAACACTGAGAGCTAGGGACTCTTGAACGGCCAACTCATCGGACCGTCCTGAAAGCAGCCTACTATCTTTAGGAGTGAGAAGGTTCCTAGCTACTATCGTAGCTGTTGTTGCATCTGTCATCACGGAGTCTTCACCTGTAAGAGGGCCATTAAAAGATAAGAAAGACGGGCACCATACATTACCCTGACGCGGCGCACCCGTATCACTGCCGAGGCTCAAATCTAAGCAAATATTAGATGGGTTAGCCATTTTCAAAGATGTTAAAAGAGAAGGGTTGGATGGAGTAAAATCTTCAAAGTGTGCATGTTAGAGGTGATCGATACCTCTATAAAAGGAGATGCGACACAACCACCGATTCAAAATTGAAGAGACACCACTCTTCAAAGCCGGATTTTCCTGCGTAAAGTTCGTCAACTCTTCAGACACAATCTCGGCTTTTCAGATAACGCGTGCAACTTTGTCAAAAGATCTCTGACAAAGTTGAAAACGCGTGAAGGTCATTATCCCAACTACACACTTTTGCCGACAAAGCGTGGGTGACAAAGCCGCAATCTCGGCTTTTCAGATAAAGCGTGCAACTTTTTCAAAAGATCTCTGACAAAGTTGAAAACGCGTGGAGGACATTGCCGCACCCGCACTACTACTTGCCATTACAATTCCTATATACGTCAACATTCATGGCAAGGCATACATCCAAAAACGCATGACTTTTCTTCTCGGCCGAGAATGTAGCTGCAACCAAACCTCTCAACATGCTCAGTTTTCTTCTTCCCTTGAGAACACCTATTCAACCATTGATGTACCCCCAAAGAAGATACCAGATGCCTGGAGTACAGATGAGGCAGGAGGAAACGGTAGATCGAAGCATGTGGAGACAAGCGCAACAAATATATGTGCTGATTCATTCGCTGCTTCTTCAAAAGCAAAAGTATCTCATATCATCAAGGGCGAAAGCAAAGGTATCTCATATCATGCTCTTTCCCTGTCTTTTCCTTTGTCCTTGTTCTTACTCGCATGGCAAAGAGGAAGAGAGCAATCAGCCGGCACTTAGAGTCGGTCTTCCGATTTGGAACCGACTACCTGGAATCTATTCCCTGGTTGCTTACCTAGCGTTGCTCTCGAGTAGTCATCTTCAACGGTTGATACACTTCCAGAGAAGGGACCACATCTGCTTGGAGAACAGCTAAGACGAGTGACAATCAAACATCAATCTTGTGGATCGTCAGCAAACGCAACTGCATATGCTGAGTTATCCTCTAACCCTCTTCAAATACGAATTGGAAAGATTGAACAAAGAAACAGGTCATCACCTCCACCTCGTGCTTGCCTGCCATGTGTCTGAATCTTGAAACTGCTCATGGTCCTATTTTCACTCAAGATCAAGCCTCAATGCAATCACCAAGGAGAAGATGGAATTTACACTCCATAACCAGATTTGCGTCCCTAAACTCTTCTCTTTGTTATTTACATTCTGCCATGTTTAGTGTGTTTAGTTAATGTTTGTGTGTTTGCTTGTGTTTAGTGTGATTTTAAGCTTGAAACATTGAGGACAATGTTTAGTTTAAGTGTGGGGGGGAGTAACATTCTGTTTTGAGATATTTTTGCATGAAATTCGTAGGGTATTACCACCTAACATGTCTAAACTTGTTTCCCACTGTTTTTAAGTGTTTTTAAGCTATTTTAGAGTGTGTTGACTTAAAAATCCAAAAATACCATAAAAATTTGAAAAATGTTTTGAAAAGCCTAAAAAGAGTGTTTTGAGTCGTTTTTGTGTGTTTGTGTCTTAAGGTACCTTCCAAAATCAGTACAATAACTGTGGACCAGTAACTAGAATACATCCAAACAGTAATGAAAATTGCTAAATATCTACGAATCCATGATAGAAGCATATTTAGGCAACTTAGTTGGCTTGTTCTTGTGCATTTACGTTGTTATTTCTTAGTTCTTTAAGTCTTTTAAGTTATTTTTGTATGTTTTCAGGTTCTAAGGGCTAAAGGAGCAAAGAAGTGCATTTTGAAGCCTTTTGGAGCACTTTTGGGCTAAGGATGGATAGCTTATGCTTGGAGCCAAAGTGTTGGACGAAATTGAAGGCCTTGTATGCACTTTAGGACATACAACAAAGGGCCTAGCCCATTCTCTTCCCAAAAACCATTCTAACCCGTGCATAACCTACCAATTCCAGCACCATCCACACCTTGTCGTGGCCTCCCCTTGCATTTCCAGCTTTCCCACTTCATCATTGCAGCACATTCTCTTCCATATTCCCTCTTTAATCCACATGCATCTTTAATCATTCACTCACATGCTTTCCCAACAAATAATTCAGCCACATGCACCCAAACAATCCTTTGCCGTGGCTTTCACATTCATTTCCAGCACATCCTTGGTGTGCCGTGCACTCCCATCCCATTTCCAGCTTTCCCCCTTCATAAAACAATCAACCACACTTCCACATGCATTCCCTCTTTAATCATTCCCTCCTAGCTGTCATTCACATGCTCTCCCATCCATTCTCTCCCTATAAAAACCATACACACCGTCACACAACAATTCCTTTGCCGTGCAAAACATTGCAGCATTTCCAGCATTTTCTCCTCCATTGCAGCCACTCCAACCACTCCCCATCCCTCCAAAACACTACACTACCATCACACATCCATTCCTCCATACAAATACCACCCCAAAACCTGTCCTTAGACCTTGTGCCGCAACAAAGAGGAGGAGAAGAAGGCCTAAACGTTCATACAATTCAAGTTTGAGTTGTTGAAATTTTAGGTGTTTCCTTTCCTTGATTTCAATGGTTAAATTTACTTATCTTTGTCTTGTACGTATGAGGAACTAAACCCCCCTTGGCTAGGGGGGGATTCGAAACCATGATCATGCTTGCTATATGATTTGATTACCTCTAATTGCGTTTCATAAGTTGTGAATTCAATTTACTTATCTATTTGAATTAAACTGATTTGTGTATGTTGGTTGAGAGTGCACGCTTAATTATCATGCGTAAATCTAATGCTAGGATATAAGGAAGTTTCTCCTAATCGTTATAAACTTATATTCATAAGTAGTAAAAGTTGATGACCTCAATTGCGTTAAGTAAATTCTTGGCATAAGTTTCATGCAATTCATAGTAACGAATGTTTCGTCAATGCTTATGGTTTTCAAAGAACTTAATGATTCTTGCTTGTATCTCTATTATGCAATTCATGTAGGGAACTTGTGGGGAATGCTTTGGGTTGTCGTATGCAATCATCCAATTCAATAACGTTAGGAAAATCTGAAGGTTAATTAGTGCAATTCACGGTTAATCTGGGGCGTTGAGAATTCATGGGTTATTGAAAAGCAATTAGAAATTGTTTTGTGTGCAAGTATGGCATGTGTGGAGATGAACCCCTTAGCTATTCCATCATCTATTGATTCATCACAATTTTTCTTACAATCTGTTTTCTTTACAATCTGTCTATTTAATTTAATTTCGTCCAAACACAATCCCCCCATATTTTGTTAAGTCTTAATCATTACAAGCTATCTTATTTTGTGTTTTTAAGCATTTGGAGTCTTGTGGACTTGTTTTGAGTTTTTGATTGAGTTAAGTGTTTTAAAGGTTAGTTTTATTTATTTGAGTCAGTTTAAAGTGTTTAGCACCCCTAGTTAATCCCCGGTTAGAACGATCCCTACTTACATCATTACTACAATTGTCACAAATAGGGTTTAATTTGTGTGTCATATTCGTAACGCATCAATCCAGCCCAGGAATACTCCTCAAAGATAGACTAGATCACCCAAAGCTTTCTTTTCCAACCCAAAAACACTTTTGTCTCTCACAAAGACGTGCTGCATGACTGTGGGGTGATTAGGGTGTTCTTTAGTTTCCCATATATGTAATTTAGATGTTATTTAGCTCCCTACTGTAATTAGGGTTGCACTTTAAATAAACCCTTAGAGGGTTTGTCATCAATTTCGAGTCGAAGCAATATCGTCATAGATTACCCAATGAAAAAACAGTTAAGTGTAAATCATTGATCTCCTAAATTTTTTCTTCTTGAACAATAAACATCGAGGCTTCTGCTATCATAAAGATGATCAGGTCCTAGAAGTAGTTTCTAAACAAAAAATGGAAAAGCTTTATGGTTAATAAATAAAAGCCGCCATCCTGCAATAGTTTGTCTAACTGTTTTAAATGTTGTGATCAGTGACAGAATGCCAAATACAGTTTAGGGGGCCTCTAGATGAACAGTCAAATACAGTTTCAGGTACTACGAAGCTTCTAAGAAGAGGAAATAGAATAAGCATATAATATTCCATAACATTTTACTTTAATGTGAAGTAGTATAACCAATCAGACAATTCACTGGGCAACACTCAACGAAACATCCAAAATACATTTCACGTTATAATATAGTCCAATCACATGCCAACCTACTAAAATTATCTTGCAGACAGATATAAGCATACAAATCTTTACCATATCTCCATCTTTCACGTACCAATGGAGCCTATCAGCAACCTGCACATTCAGAGTTATGCTGATAGAATTCTCCACGGATTCATGGAGTTTATAATTCAAAAGACAACATTCACAAAGTCAATACTTTCGTTTAATGCAACACTAGAAAAGAACCAAAAGGCATATTCAACCCAACCCAAATACGTACAGATTTGGCAAACTTTCTTGTTATCCTCTGTTTGTGCTTGCCACCTCCTATGATACCTTAAGGAAATAAATAGCAAAACGAGGTGTAAACAAAAGCCTCTTCCAAGTTCCAACAACTAAAAGAACTAAATCTGAACCCTTCCACAATATTATGAAAAGCGTACGTAACAAGTTAGTATAAAAGTTGTTACCATAAAAGGTCAGCCGGATTCATGTAAAAAATGACCCCTGAATAATACGACCTTCCTCCACGTCTTTCCTTGATTGTCATCTTCACTGTAACCAAAACACTGGTATCAACCGTCCTGCCCATAATTCAAAATTATTCAACTTTTAACAAGACAATACCACTACCCTACAAATTATCTCATACCAGAAGACAAGGCAACAACACTGTAATATAAACAAGTACAACGGAAACAATTAGGGCAGTTCCAAAGGAAAACCTTGCTATACAATCAGCCCCAGCACGTTAAAGCATAATATTAGTGCCAATTGCCAAACATAAGTTTACAGAAACAAGCAAGATTATCAAATTCAATAAAAACTACAACCTTTTCTTTCTCAAGCAGCGGCTCAACTTTGATCCTAAATTATCGCCAACAAGGTTGACCCGACATAATAATGTGTGTAAACAAATATACCTAAAGCTGATGAAGTCCGAACTCACCCAAAAGGAAGTGAATGAAACAGATAATTGCCACATTGCAATCTCCATTGTTGAAGCTCCACAACAGTTTTGAATCATGCTGCATTCTCCAGCAATATGCCCTGTTTTTTAACACAACGTCATTGATGAAAGGTGTTCAAACCCCTGTTAGAGGATCAAGAGGGCCTGTATACTTTTATATCTCCAGCTTTTCAACCTCTGATACAGACCAATAACATGTCCCTAGTGCAATCAAAACCCGCAAGAGAAGTCATAGTTGAGCAAAGTATAAGAATCTACCCAAAGTATCTGAAAATTTCCATCTACTCCACCATTAATAATTTCTAACTGGGTGCCAAACGGTTTAATTTTAACTAGTAAGCCCATCAATCAATCTATTATATGTAGCAATATCAGGGATAAATCCCCTATCAAGCATGTCATCCACAAGCACTTCCCCCTCCTTTCTTCTTCCTTCTCTTGAATATCCAGATACCAAAATCCTATAAGCTGTGCTGTCTAATTCCAAACCTTTGCTCGATGACAACCTCCTAAGACTATCTGCCTCCACTGTTCTCCCCAAATTGCAAAGGTCTTGAAGGAGACAATTAAAAGTCACGATATCTGGAACTGAACCCTCTTCAAGCATCCTTTTCATCAATCCAGAAGCTTCGTCCATTCTCCCTACTCTCCGCAAGCCCTCAATCAAAGTTGTGCAAGTGATCAAGCTCGGAACATTTCCTGTCCTCCATAGCTCATCCACTACCTCCAACGCTCTACCCGAACTTCCCTTCCTACAAAGCACCTCAACAAGACTGAGATAATCATAAGATTTAGGCAACACTCTTTTCCTTGAAAAATCTATCAACAATTCACACGCCTCCGAAACCCAACCTTCTCTACAAAGTCCATCGACCAAAATCTCACAAGTGACACTCGAAAACTTGCAACCAAAGTCAATCATCTCATAAGCCATCCCTATCCCATCCTCAAATTTCCTCTCCCTAAAGAACCCCTTTATCAAAGTATTGAAACTCACCACATTGGGACTACACCCCTTCTCCCTCATATCCTTAAACAGCTCCAAAGCTAACCCGAACTCTGAATTACGACAAAAACTACTAATCAGAATGTTAAAGGTATAAACATTGGCCTTAACTCTATCCTTAAGCATCTTATCATACAACCCCAGAGCCTGATCATGTTGGCTATGTTTCACAAACCCATTAATCAAAATGTTGTAAACCACAACACTAGGTCTGCCATCAATCAATTTCCGCATAGAATCAAATGCATTCAAAGCATCACCCAATCTCCCAACCCTGCAGTAAGCATTAATGGCAAATTGGAAAATGGGTTCTGTTCTTGGGCAAGAAAAAATACCATCGGAGCAAGGACAAGGGTTAGCGACCATGAAGCCAAGGAGGGAACTCAACTCGGGAAATCGGTCTGAGATTGCGAGGGTGCGAGCCATCCATTCGAACGTGGAGTGGTCGTGGCGGAAGGAGTCGACGGAGGACGCCCAGTTGAAGACGTGGAAGTCGAAGTGGGTGAATGTGGGGTGGTGGTGGAGCTTGGACTGGAGGAAATGCAGGAGGGTTTGGGGTGTGAATGGTGGGTTCTTAATATGGGTTTTGAGGAAGTTGAGGAGGTGGGTGTGGTTAGAGGTGTGGGAGAGAGTTTGGGTGGGGAGAGGAATTGATGGGGTTTTGGGTGCACCAGGAAGTGTTGGGTTTGGAATTGGAGACAGTGGTGGCTTTGTGTTTTTAGGGTTTCGCTGCTCCAGCAGTGGTATGGCAATTGGTCCTCTCAGCTTTTTCATAGTCCTCGGAATAGTGCTAGCCAACTAATAAGTTCACAAAAAAGTGCCAGATATACTCTCAGCTTGCTCTGCATCAAAGTAAATCAATAGCATTAGCTGGGAACAAGAAAGCACGACCATTTTCTAATTAGTACAAATATTATACAGAGAAATAATATTAGTACAAATATTAACATGCCAGTAAAATGACTTAACAAAGTTAACCAAAAAGAAAAAGAAAGAAGAGTGATAAATCCAAGATTTCAAAATGGGGTCTTCTGTCTTCTGAATATTTCAGCTAAGTTTCGCAAGTAGAAAGTTTCTCACAAAATTTTGTAGACCCACCTTTGTTTTTGCAATATTTCCTAGATCATACACCTGTTAAACATTTCTATCATTTATATAAACTGCAATGTGAAGTACAAAGGAGACTCCACTGCAATTTCAAGATAAACCTCCACTTAGGAACATTTAAGCTTAACCCCAAAGACAAAACCTTCAATTGGCATCTCATAAAGTTGCAAACTTGTAATCATTCATAGTAATAAGATCTCTTGAATCTTGAATTAACCACCTCTCTCAGATATCAAATTAAATACAGCATAGCAATTTTCAGTAGATACCACAGACTTCTTCAAAATTCCAGACTCTCAACCATTCCTTTTATTCACGCTAAACTTTAAAGTATTCTATGGAAATGATGATGGGAGTAGTTTGATGCAGAAAAGAAAATATTTTGCATGCGTAATGGAGAAAGTATAGAATCCCTAAACCCCTAAACTGAATCCCTACAATAGTATTTAGGTGAAAGCAGAAATTATACACTAAATGAATCACTAAAACCCTGAATCCCTAATCTCTAGTCCCAATTAAACTTATATTAGAAGCCCATAATTCCTAAATAACTAAATCATAATTTAGAAACAAGCATAAGGAGGACTTACAAGGCTGGAGTACTGAAGAAAATCACAAGAAAGACGAAAGGACTTACACTGGAGTGACTGGAGTATTTTGCATGACATGTTTCATTTTTATTGTACCTACCCACCACTTTATATGGTAGAGTAAGCATATGTTATGCGTATACCATACTATGCACTTTACAACTGTAACCCATTGCCCATAAAATTTCCAATTTCACAATGGATACCACATTTTGCTAATCATCTTGTGTAAATCGTTGATGTCCAAGCCCAACTAGTCTAATAATCGACAATTACATGTAAAGAGTACACGATCCCAAAAAAAGGCTAGAGTTGACTCGATTAAGCAAAAGCTACTTTCTATATTTCATAACCCAAGTGTAGCTCTTTTACCCTATTAACAAATTATAAATAATTGGATCTAATTTAAAGCTTTAATAAAAGCATGATATTCAAGAATTAAAGAAGTAAATCAATCAAACATGAAAGCCCATTGTTATAAAAGAGATACATCAATTCAACAATTTCTGAGTAAAACATCGATTCAAATAATTCTAAAGGTAATTAATCCCCTACGTTAATGCCAGCAACATTTTTTTTTTCAATGTGATCTACTCTATCCTTTTCTTTCCCCTCTCACTCTCTCTCCTTTCCATTTCTTTTTGTCAAACTCTAGTGTATTCTGTTGTCTTTCATTATACCTAGGAAAATTGCATCACAAGGACTGGTGTACAATTATACTAGACGTTGAGGCGGTAAAAACTAGGATGGATAGGATACTGAATGGTCTGGCCGCCAACCTAATATGCTCAAACTCTAGAGTTAGAGTAGCGTTACATTTACACCTCAAGCTTTAGCAGCGTTGCTTCACCAGAACTCTATACTGCTTACATAGCACATTTGGAGAAGAGAAAAGAATGAAAATAAGTGAATAGAAAGAAATATGATGAAGGGACAAATTGAACTGAATCGCTTATGTTAACTATATTAGTTTTTGTCAATTAACATTTCCTATTGGTGGTTATCACTTTAAATGTTATTAGGATGGTAGAAATTTATAGATTAAAATAGCGGCTGCAATATTAGACCTATATGTGCCTCAAACTGTTAAGATTATTAGGTTTATCATTTTGGTTTTGTTAGAATGTTTTCCTTTTTTGGTGAAAATAGAGGAGGACCAGGCGAGATTAGGTCTTCGTAAAGACATAAGAACTAAGAATATTAATAGTGTTTGTTTCAACTTTCAAGTATAGATAGTCGCAGTTCATGTTAACTTATAACAGAAACAGAGTTTACCGAACCATGAGCCCGTTGTACATTATTTTTGTATGCAGACATAACATATAGACTCAATCAAACTGCGAAAGGCAAACATTAAGCTGATCTTTTTTCCCCGAAAAACAATAGGATTACTTCTTCTTATAGATGCTATCATATCAAATGGAAAAAGAAAAAAAAACATTGGAAAACAAAGAACCAACGACTTGAGGCCAAGGCTCGTGAAGCCCCCGGCATCCAAGGCTTCCCTAGCTCTAAAGATGATCCCAAGTGGAATGAATCCACGACTGAAAGTCTTGGTACATATATGCAACCGACTAAGACTACACAATGAGGGTTACCAATTACTAACAAAACCAACTCACAGCCATTGAAAAGCCTTCCCCCTTCCCCCTCAGAATCCACCTAACCATTGCCAAATACAAAGAAAGAAACCCAATATATTTTACAGATAATCGCAGTAAAACAAGAAGAAAAAGAAACGAAAAAGTGAAATTGAATAATGGGGAAAACTTACAAATTAGCTGAGGGTCCTCCGTTGCCGGGAAAGGGAGATTTGGTGGCGCGTGGCCTGGAAAGGAGATGGGTGTGGGTGTCTGTCTGTGGGAGTGGAAGGGAACTTGGGCGGGGCTTGGCGCGGCGGAGACAAACAGAGAAAAAGGTGGATGGGTTCTTCTTCCTACTCACTTCTCAGATTGAAGTGACTGTTACAAACGACAGGACCAGATCACGAATTGGCACGGATGACGCAATAATATAAAAGTTGAATAAAATAAGAATCTCCAAGCTCGGGCTGCTTTCAGGCCGGAGGATCTTGGGTTTCAACTTTCAGCCCATTTTGACTTGTTACCACGTCGTTCTATTTCGTATGAAAAATTAGTGCATAGTTTGTTGATTTTAGGTTTTTTTTTTTTTAATGGATTTTTTGTATAATCAATTTATTGTTTTAACTCGACAAGCGTAACTCATACTCTTGCAACCTATCCTACATTGGCATCAATTTTGATATTCATTTCTGTATTGCAACTTTAGATTATTCCAAAGTCATAGTTAGATCATCTCTAATGGTGACCTAAAATCTAAAAATATTTAGCCCAGAAACAGCTTTTCTGCTCCAACCCTTCTAGCCTAAAATTTTAGCCCGAAATTATCAAAAAATGAATTAAGGCTAATTTTTTTTAAATTAACTTTAAAAAAAATTATATAGACTATCCTAAATTAATTATATGAACATTTTAACCTAAAAATATTTAAATTCTGAAAAATTTTGAAAAATCACTAAATCAATACATGAAAATCATAATAAACCACATAAACTTAATACAAACAACATTTAATAAACCACATAAACTTAATACAAATGACAATTAATAAACCACATAAACTTAACACAATCGAAAACTCATAAACTTAATAATGATAGTCTTGGTTTGGTGATGGACTTGGGTGATAGTCTTGAGATGAATCATCATCTTAAAGTATACTCCTTGTGGCATTCCTTCGTAAAATGTCATTTTGCTTACCACGTAAGTATTTCTTCCTCTCTGGAGTGTATTTGTCGAGGTCCTCCATCATCAAATTAACTTCAAACCTTTCTTGCTCCATACCCCCTTGTTCTTTCATGGCCAAACGCATTTGGGCCAATTCTTCTTGCCGAGAGATATGGTTTTCATTCATTCTTACCATTTTGCTAGCAAATTGTGCACGTATCAGATCTTAGGACTTCCCTTTTCTCTTTGCTTCTTTTTGCTTATCTCTACCTGGGAGCCTTTCAAAAGAGGAAGTTGGGGTCATTTGTTCGACACCTTCATTGTCGGCAAAATTCACACCTTCATTGACATCATTTAGGGGTGGGGCTTCACTATGAAATAATCTTCCACATTGTTGGTTCGCATCAACTCCCCACCTTGGACAATCCTTGAGGATGTTCCAAGCATAATGCGACTTAAAAGCTTGATTTTTTGGTGTAGTTCTTGTCTTGTAAATTGCCATTGCTTTGTCACCCTATGCAACAAATACATAAAAACAATTAGTTGCAAAATACATGACAACTAAAATATCAACAAATAAACTCACAATTTCTGAGGCGGCCCTTCCACTAGGCATGTCAACCATGGCTCTCTCTAAGCTTCCCTTCCACAAAGTGCACACTTTGTTGATAATCTTCCACCGATCACAAACACCACCAACTTCCCTTCGACCGGTGTTGGAGTTTTCATGGAACTTATCAACGATTTTACCCCAAAAACCTTTCTATTTTGGTTCATGCCAACGGCACCATCTTCGCTAACAGAAATCCATGCCGAACATAAAGCAATATATTCGTCAAAGGTCCAATTATGACCTCTAACATGCTCTTTTGTCATCTTGAAAAATTTGGAAATGAGAAGAAATGGTAGAAAGAAAAATTGGAAGAATTGTAGGAGAAAAGTGAGTTTTGTGTGGATGTTTGAACACATACATAGGTATTTATAGAGTTTTTGGTTGAATTTTAAGTTAAATAATTGTTTTAAATTATTTTAGCCGTTGGATTTAAATTTGGACCGTTAGATCTTTTTTTTTACCGTTAGATTTGATTATATTCGATCTAAGCCATTGGATTCAATAAATATATAATTATAAAACTAAAAAAAATAATAATTTGAACCTGGACCGTTGGATTAACCAACGGCCCATTTAAATCCAATCGTTGGGCTACATAATTGGTTGACACCCGGGGGACAACCCCACGTGGGTGGGCCTGGGTTATCTCCCTTTCTAGCACGTGCAGGGTTGATTTTGCTGTGTGGGCGATTGGAAGCTGAGCAGTGGGCTTCACAGCCCCCGTTTTAGTCTCAGTTGGTGGGACCCATTTTGCTTTGTGGCCTAAAATTGGGTTGGTATTTGGCCTCAGAATAAGTTTTATGTTTTAGGTTAATTTTAGGTCATGGGTTGGAGTGGATTTTGAAGGGGGGGTGGGGGGGAAGGGAAATTTTAGGTTTTAGGTCATTGTTGGAGAAGGTCTTATGGAAGAAAAACGGGTTTTCCGACTATGACACTCAAGAAAGGTAGTAGTCTTCTCTTTTTTTGTTAATTTATTAAGAAACGATTTCCTATGCATTCTTCTTTTTAACTTATTCGTTTGCAATGTGGGAAGGTTGGTGATTCTTTCATTGACCCTGGCCTTTGTTGCCGGTCTTTGTGAATATTTCACACTGAGTTGTTAATGAGATTGTTCCTTAACTAAACAATCATTTCCCAAAATATGTATTTATGCCATTGCCATGCATCTATCTATCTCATGAATCTTCTTATGTTTTCAATAATTCTTTTGTATTGCCATGTGATCCTTCAAACAGATGCACTTGCATTCTTTTCCGGATTAATGGAACATACTGAAAACTAGAAAAGTTATCCAAGTTTCTCTTTTTCTTTGTTAACAAAGATAATTGTTGCTTATTGTTTTCCTTGGCTTTCCAACTTTTAGTGTAGGTTGTGGGAAAATTCCCAAATTATTGCTTTGGAGTTACTAGAATAGGCATTGTGATTCTCTTTTTTCTTTCATAAATATCTATTCAATTGCAAATATGCAACTGTTTTTATTACCTACTCATTGTTCATAGACTAACCTGAGTGTTTAGAGTCATGCTTTCTATGACTTTTTGTGAAGTGAACAAAGCAAGCTCTCCACTTCAGGTCTTCAATCTATCAATTACATTAATATCCTGTCTTCTAATTCATCTTAGTTCAAGCTTTCAAAGTTAATGTTTGATTTGTACTATTTTCTATATTGTTCTATTGTTTTAAGCTACAGATGAAGTGTTAAGTGTTATATGTGTTAAGTAGAATTAGGAAGTGAATTAAGTCCTCTTGAGAATACAAGGGATAACTCTATGGGTGTTAACTTGGTTTTTATATTGATTGTTCAGCTATAACATAAAATCTCAATCTTTACAACTACAATATGTAACACCATCTACTAAATATTAGATTGCATTGATCTAAATAAAAGACTATTAAATCGTTGAAAAAAGTCATCTCCAGCTAGTATAAAACTAGAATCTTTTCACCATAAAAAGACTAGGTAACCATACTTTATCCTTATTTTCTTTATAGTATAAACTTGTTGATATATAAATCAATTGCATGTATTTTAGTATTTCATATCTTTCCTTCCTAGGCTGCTTTCTTGACAATCAAGATTACTGGAGGGAAACTTTTGGTGCTTCAATGTTACTTTCATTTTTTTCCCTTGACTAGGCTGCTTTCTCGATCTATTTTTTTATTGTCATTCCAAATTGGTCTCAACCTTTTTAAACATTCCAAACAAGTACCCAACCTATTAAAAATGTCACATTTGTTAAGCCCCAATTAAAAATCTGTTAAACTAATTAGGGCTTACTTTGTCTTCAAAATCAATAAAAGGTCATGAAAGCATAGCATCCACCAATTAACTGTCACCACCACCCCTATTAAGCCATCTCCTTCAAACCCAAAGAAAAAACACCAACTTCATCATACAATTTGAGCTGCTTACATCGAGAAGAGGTCATGGAGGTTGTTAAAGTTGTATGAACTGCCATAATACAGCCACCACCATCTTCACCACCTACAAAGAAAAACTGGAAGGTTTATGAGCTAAGAATCGGGAAATGAAGAAATCACATGAAGAAAAACAAGCTCCTTGAAACCATATTTGAATTCTTAACTCTGTAAGGAAATTGCTCTCCTGATTATTTCAATTTTTGTCCATTTTCGATTCAATCTAATACCCATTTAATAAGATCTTGAGGCAACTAATACTAATGTGGACCATGAATCATGATATATCCACTTGTTAGGTTTTGAATATGACCTATGTTTGAAAAATTAATTGGGCCTTAACGGATGTGTCATTTTCAATAAGTCGGATACTTGTTTGAAATGTTCAAAAATGTTGATACCAATTTGAAATGACACGGAAAGATTGTGAGGTTTTAGGTGCTTAATCCTATTTTTTATGTAGAGACAAAAGTTCTATGATTTTTGTACGTGGACTACAGTTAAGTCTTTTGTTTGTAAAAATCTTCTAACATTTTCAATGTAAATAATATTAATATTTTATGACACAATCTTTTATATCTTTTAAACATAATTTTTCTTTCAATTTCTAACCCCAGAACAACACGCAGGTAGTAATTTCTAGTTGTACTCTGTAACCTGGTCAACTGGTGATGAATCTAAATCCACTTGATGATGAACGGTAAAATCAAAGGAAAACTAATGAAAACGGCTTAAAAACTTTGAGTTTTAATGACAAGGACAAAATAAGGGGTAAAATGAATATTACCAGGATTGACTTTTTACTGTAAAAATGTGGTTTTTCGTTAAAGTGAACAGTACCGGGAGCTTTTCGTTAAAGTTCCCAAAAGCAATGCAATAATTGTGCTGAAATGCAAAGAAAAATGGGAACCGAACCCGCACAGATTGAATGTGGAGAGAATGGGACCCCTATTGCTGCTGTCCCCACACAAATTAGAACTTTTTAGAACTTGCTTAATTGTCTATAGACACTATCACCCCGCATGGCTCACATGGCATGCTGCTATTTGACATTGTCATCAAGTCATTTTGAAGCAACAATTAGCCCTACCTTGTTATGATGATCAATTACTAATTAAAGTTTAATTTAAATATGGTTCTCACTTCTCCCACTACAACTAAAATTATGCACTAAGCCAAATTAAAGTGTACTTACA